GTCACTATACATTTCAATTTTTTTTGTAATCACTGTGTACAGGCCCGTAGCCAGGGGGGGTTCGGGGGGTTCGAAAGAACCGCCCCTTTTGCTGGGAAAAGGTCCATTCTGGGTAAAATTGGATCTAGGTACATGAAGTTTTTATGGGAAAAGGTCCACTTTTTCAGAAAAAGAACCCCCCTTTTGAAATTGCTGGCTACGGGCCTGGTGTATGTCTGTTTTGTGACTGCGTTTGTTTGTATTTATTTTGATTACTATGTTTGTTGGTGATGTAACTGTTGGTGTTTGTACTTATTGTGAGCACTGTGCATGTCAGTTTTGTCACTCTTATTTGTTTTTATTCAATACTGTTACTCTTTTTGATGGTGTTGTCACTGTATGTCTGTGTCTGTTTATATTCTGTTTTCTGTCTATTTTGTATTGTTACCGAATACATTTGTACATTTTGAGATGACTATGTATGTCTGTTTACACTCTTTTTCCTTGTGTGTATTCTCATTGCGTTGAACGTTACTGTTGTCACTGTACATGTGAAATTTTTTCTGATCACTGTGTATGTCTGTATTTTCACTGTGTTTGTTTGTATTTATTTTGATTACCGTGTTTGTTGGTGGTGTTACTGTTTGTGTTTGTATGTATTGTGAGCACTGTGTATGTCAGTTTTGTCATTATTTGTTTATAATCTTTACTATTACTCTGCATGATTGTGTTGTCACTGTGTCCCTGTGTGTTTGTTTATCTTATGTATCTCTATGTGTCTGTTTATATTCTGTCTGTTGTGTCTATTCTGTATTGTTACTGAATGTGTTTATATTCTGTGATGACTAATTATGTCTATGTTTTCACTCTTTTTCCTTGTGTTCAATCTCATTGCGGTGCACGCTACTATTATCACTGTACACGTTTTAATGTAAATAAATATTAAAATATTTATTTTGATCACTGTGTATGTCAGTTTGTCACTCTATTTGTTCTTAATCATTAATTACTATTACTGTGCATGATGGTGTGTGACTGTATGCCTGTGTGTTTGTTTATCTTATGTTTGCTGTGTCTGTTTTGTATTGTTACTGAATGTGTTTGTATATATTGTGATGACTGTGTATGGCTATGTTTTATACTCTTATTCCTTGTGTTCATTCTTATTATGGTGAACGTGACTGTTGGCACTGTACACGTCAAAATTTATTCTGATCACTGTGTATGTCTGTATTACAATCGATAGCCTTTGTTGCCTTATCTCTTGTTATGAATGGGACTATGAAAGTTTGTGGTACACTGGGATGGAGGAGACATAAAATTTATTTTGATCACTGTGTATTTCTGTATTGTGACTGTTTTTGTTTGTATTTATTTTGATTACTGTGTTTTTTGGTGTTGTTACTGTTTGTGTTTGTATTTGTGAGCACTATATGTACGTCAGTTTTGTCTGCCTTATTTGTTTTTATTCATTATTATTACTCTGCATGATGGTGTTGTCACTGTATGTCTGTGTGTTTGTTTATCTTATTTTGACAGACCAAATATTAAATCTCCTATCATCTGTGCCCGAGACGAAGAAACACCCTTCCAATTGTCAGTAGAAGACACCCGGCTTGGTCTTACTAGATTGAAAGTAAGAAAGAAAGCAGCACGTCCGGATGGGATCACACTTAGGCTGCTAAAATTATGTGCCGATGAGCTCTCTGATGTATTGTGCAACATCTACAATTGGTCTTTATGCTCTAGTTATGTGCCAAAAATATTTAAACAATCTGTGATAATACCTTGTTGTTAGTCATCACTGTACGCGTCAAATTTTTTCTAATCACTGTGTATGTCTGTATTTTGACTGTGCTTGTTTTTATTTATTTTTTTTACTCTGCATGTTTGAGTTGTCACTACGCGTGTTTGTATTTATTGTGAGCACTGTGTATGTCAGTTTTGTCACTCTATTTGTTTGTAATCATTACTATTATAGTCTGCATGATGGTGTTGTCACTGTATGTCTATATGTCTATTTATGTGTCTGTTTGCTGTATCTATTCTGTAATGCTACTGAATGAGTTTGTACATATTGAGATGACTATGTATGTCTATGTTTTCACTCTTTCCTTGTGTTCATTCTCATCACGGTGAACGTTATCGTTGTCACTGTACATGTGAAAATTTTTCTAATCACTATGTACTTCTGTATTTTGACTGTGTTTGTTTTTATTTTTTTTTTCATTACTGTGCATGTTTGTGTTGTCACTACAAGTGTTTGTATTTATTATGAGCACTGTGTATGTCAGTTTTGTCACTATTTGTTTGTAATCTTTACTATTACTCTGCATGATTGCATTGTCAGTGTATCCCTGTGTGTTTGTTTATCTTATGTATATCTATGTGTCTGTTTTTATTCTGTTTGCTGTGTCTATTTTGTATTGTTACTGAATGTGTTTATGTATATTGTGATGACTATTTACTGCTATGTTTTCACCATTTTACCTTGTGTTCATTCTCATTGCGGTGCACGCTACTATTAACACTGTACATGTTAATGTATATTTTGATCACTGTCGGTGTATGTCAGTTTTGTCACTCTATTTGTTTGTAATCATTACTGTGCATGATGGTGTTGTCACTTTATGTCTATGTGTCTGTTTATATTCTGTTTGCTGTGTCTATTCTATGTATGTTGTTACTGAATGTGTTTGTATATATTATGATGACTGTGTACATCTTCGTTTTCACTCTTTTTCCTTGTGTTTTTTCTCATTATGGTAAACGTTACTGTTGTCACTGTACACGTCAAATTTTTTCTAATCACTGTGTATGTCTATTATCTTGTTTTTCTTATTATTTTATTTATTATTACTGTGCATGTTTGTGTTGTCACTGTCCATGTTTGTATTAATTGTGAGCACTGTGTATGTCAGTTTTGTCACTATTTGTTTATAATCTTTACTATTACTGTGCATGATTGTGTTGTCACTGTATCCCTGTGTGTTTGTTTATCTTATGTATCTCTATGTGTCTGTTTATATTCTGTCTGTTGTGTCTATTCTGTATTGTTACTGAATGTGTTTATACTCTGTGATGACTAATTATGTCTATGTTTTCACTCTTTTTCCTTGTGTTCATTCTCATTGCCGTGCGCTCTACTATTATCACTACAGGTTAATATTTATTTTAATCACTGTGTTTGTAAGTTTGTCACTCTATTTGTTCGTAATCATCACTATTACTGTGCATGATGGTGTTGTCACTGTATGCCTGTGTGTTTGTTTATCTTATGTTTGTTGTGTCTGTTTTGTATTGTTACTGAATGTGTTTGTATATATTGTGATGACTGTGTATGGCTATGTTTTTTGCTCTGTATTATTACTGAAAGTGTTTGTTCATATTGAGATTACTTTGTACGACTTCGTTTTCACTCTTTTTCCTTGTGTTTATTCTCATTACGTTGAACATTACTGTTGTCACTGTACATGTGAAATTTTTTTTCTAATCACTGTGTATGTCTGTTTTGTGACTGTGTTTGTTTCTATTTATTTTGATTACTCTGTTTGTTGGTGTTGTTACTGTTCGTGTTTGTATTTATTGTGAGCACTGTGTATGTCAGTTTTGTCACTATATTTTTTGGTAATCATTACTATTACTCTGCATGATGGTATTGTCACTGTATGCCTGTGTGTCTTTTTATCTTATGTTTGCTGTGTCTATTCTGTATTGTTAATGAATGTTTTGTATATATTGCAATGACTGTGTACTTCTATGTTTTCAATCTTTTTCTTTGTCTTCTTTCTTTTTACGATGTACGGTACTGTTGTCACTGTACACGTCAAAATTTATTCTGATCACTGTGTATGTCTGTATTGTGACTGTTTTTGTTTGTATTTATTTTGATTACTGTGTTTTTTGGTGTTGTTACTGTTTGTGTTTGTATTTATTGTGAGCACTGTGTATGTCAGTTTTGTCACTCTGTTTGTAATCATTACTATTACTCTGCATGTTGGTGTTGTCACTGTATGTCTATGTGTCTGTTTATATTCTGTTTGCTGTGTCTATTCTGTGTATATTGTTACTGAATGTGTTTGTATATATTGTGATGACTGTATACGACTTCGTTTTCACTCTTTTTTTTTTTTGTGTTCATTCTCATTAGGTGAACGTTACTGTTGTCACTGTACACGTCAAATTTTGTCCAATCACTGTATATGTCTGTATTTTGACTGTGCTTGTTTTTATTTTTTTTCATTGTTGTGCATGTTTCTGTTGTCACTACGCATGTTTGTATTTATTGTGAGCACTGTGTGTGTCAGTTTTGTCACTATCTGTTTGTAATCTTTACTATTACTCTGCATGATTGCGTTGTAAGCGTATCCTTGTGTGTTTGTTTATCTTATGTATATCTGTGTGTCTGTTTATGTTCTGTCTGCTGTGTCTATTCTGTATTGATACTGAATGTGTTTATGTATATTGTGATGACTGCTATGTTTTCTCTCTTTTTCCTTGTGTTCATTCTCATTGCAGTGCACGCTACTATTAACACTGTACATGTTAATATTTATTTTAATCACTGTGTATGTCAGTTTGTAACTCTATTTGTTCGTAATCATTATTATTACTCTGCATGATGGTGTTATCACTGTATGCCTGTGTGTTTGTTTATCTTATGTTTTCTGTGTCTCATCTGTATTGTTACTGAATATATTTATATATTCCCAGATAGCAATGAGCGGTCGGGCCGACGTCGGCATTGGTTGGCACGGTCGCGGTCGGCAGTCGTTGTCGGGCCGACGACTGCTTCACGCCGTTGGCCCGACGTCGGTATAACGGTGGCTCATCAGCTGTGCGTCTGCCATGGCCACTACTGGTGACCCGACTTAGGGCCGACGACTGCTTCACGCCGGCGGCCCAACGTCAGTATAACGGTGGCTCACCAGCTGTGCTCGATTTGCACTAAGCGGCCAATTTCAAATTGAGGTCATCCACACTAAGTGGCCATAGATCGTTGCAAGTGCACTTGACAGTTATTTCATATTTTGCACCAAATTGTTAGGTAAGTATTTACTTTAAAGTGTTTATGTTTTTCGTACTATAGGTGGAGGTTTATTTGTTGTAGATGAATTAACGCAAACAAGCAAATCTTTCAATAATTTGTTAGTCGTAGCTGCAGGCAGTTGGCGTGCTGCGTTCCACCTTTGAACCAACGTCAGGGCGACGTTGGGTTTCCAGCAGCCAAAAAGATTTTCCAGCTCAAATTGTTTAATGCTTTGAAAGACATTTCAATTACCACATTTCATGTATAGACAATTTATAAATGTGAATGAGCAACGTTCTAGTACATTTTTTTGTACTTAGGAGTATATATTGTTTATATTTTCTCTAGTTGAATTTGAAATGCTAATATAATAGGGGTATATAGCAAGGCTGCATTATACTAACATGTAAACTTATAATGTCAGCATGGGTTTAACACTGGATTAACCTTATGGCATACATTCCAAACTGAGTTTAGCATTAAGGGGTATAATGTCCGCTCAGATTTTTACAGGTTTTCTTTTCAAAAATGGACCTCAGTAACCTAAAATATCCAGAGGTGGTTCTTTTAGGGAGGGGGGGGGAAGCCAAGTTTAAATTGAAATTTTTCTAGATGTTTAGTCAAATACCCACAGGGTATGATATAATAATGTTTCTTGTTGGTTTAGGCTCATGACAAGGCATTTTGTGCACATTACAAAGCCACACTTAATATGTATCTCATACTTTTTCTTATAGTCTTCCATCATGCATTACTACCTATTTGTCGCCTGTGTTGAGCAGTCAATCCTCACAAGAAAATACACTTGAAAGGTATGTGTGAATATAGTTAAAGTGCTGAATGTGCCATTGCCATGGTAAGATGCAGTAGTTTAACTTATATCATCCCTATCAATGGATGAAGGAGTAAACAACTATTTCTTGCCTGCGACTCTCTTCTGGAATTAAGTACATTATTCTTCTTAAAATATATGCAATGAAATGTGTGAAATTCTCCATCTATGTTATTAACTACACTTTTTCGTCCTCCATTATATTTGAATTTTTTCCCGTTTCAGCATGAAGAAACTGCTCACTGAAGTTGAGGTACTGAAAGGAATGGTGAGGACTAATACCTTATACCTAAAAAAGATTCTGGAGAAAGAAGCAGCTTCACTAGAAACAAGTGAAGATCACCTTCTTAAAGAATTTGATCTGCCTATTTCCAGTGAAGTTGCTCTTGAGAGGGCAGAGGAACTGTTGGAAAACAAACCACATAGGCAATGCATGGTAAGTTTTAAAATGACATTTGTTATATTTTGCTCAGTATCCAGTATTAGTATCCTGTTAAATTGATAATTCAATAATAACCACTGGAAAATAATTACATTATTTCGTCTACATTTCAAAGTATACATTAACAACTTCATTTCAGTATGCAACATTACGAATAAGCGCGGGTGGATTGGATGCGAACTAGGAAATAAGTCATTAGAAGACAACTGAAACCAACGGTTCAATAATACGATAGAGAAACATGGATTGCTGATTCGTTGCGTCCAAAATCGAGCGTACAAAACTAACCTGTCCGTCCCTGACCTCATAAAGTTTAGAACATTTCACATCGCAAATAGAAAAATAATAGTTGGAGAAACGTGGATCAGTATCATGCTAGATTCCTTAAGCTTGGTTTCAGTTGTCTTCTTAGCCGTTTTTTTATTTTGCATATCAGTGAAATAACATATGATATTAACAGTGACTTTTGTATGTTTTATTGAATTAAGTGTGAGTTCTTTAAATTTTTTTCTATTCTCTTTACAGAGAGAGAAGCAGCCCAGGCGCCGCAGCTGCAGCAGAGTTCCTCAGATGAATCTTAGTCATCATCATCATCATTCCTCTTCGTCCCATGTGAGAAGCAGAGAGAGAAGCAGCCCAGGCGCCGCAGCGGCAGCATAGTTCCTCAGATGAATCTTAGTCATCATCATCATTCCTCTTCGTCCCGTGTGGGACATAAGGCCACAGTCACTTCTTTCCAGCGTAGTGTCGTAGTCAAAGATATGATGCAAATCTTGCAACTCACAGAGCGTCATCTATTTGATAAGATGTTAACAGTACCATCAAATGTACGTCGGGGAAACGAGGCAGAAATGAAAAGACAGAATTAGACACCACCGCTGCACTATAAACAACAAAAAACTCTTCGTGCCTGTGGGACAACTCAACACTCGGCTAAAGACATCACCGTCACCGTCTTAAAAGACGGATCGTCGTACAGAAATGTATTAGAACACTAGACACCTTGAATAATGGACTCAGAAGGGACAATAGTTTCTTAAATGAATATAGATTTTTTATATGTTACGTTTAGCGTTTAGGACGCTTTTGCAGCATCCTGTGCCTTTAACACATCATCGACACCACATACCCCAGGAGTTTTTCTTCACCATTTTTTTCATGTCTCTGAAGAAGGCCTAGGGACTGAAAGCTTGGATTATATATGACATCTGTAAAGTAGATCTTCAGAGATGCATCTGTAATAATACTTATTTTCAATAACTAATTGAATTATCGTTATTAACTCACTCAGATTTATAAAGATGTTTCTTCACAAAACATGATTCACATTGTTATTATTATAATCTTTTAGGCCAACGGGACTTTTTCACTTCAGTGAGAGGGTTATTACGAAGAAACGCCGCTGCTACCCTGTTGCCAACATTCGCCAATTGAGTCATAGCTGGCTGACCATGGAGAGTCCATAATAATATTTGCATAACAGTGGTAAAACGATGGTTAACGATGTTGGCCCGGCTTTGGCGCGAAGTTGGCAAGAGGGTGGCACCGTTGGCATAACAGCGGCTCACCGCCGATAGTAAAAGCTCATTACAACATTGGCCCAACATTGGCGCGACGTCGGCAAAAGGTCAGCATTATAGTGGCTGACTGCCGGTTTTCGATAATTACGTTGGCCCGACGTTGGCGCAACGCCAGCAAAAGGTCGGCATAACAGCAGCTAACCGCCGACAGTAATAGCTCATATGACGTTGGCCCAACGTTGGCGCGAAGTTGGCAAATTGTCGGCATGACAGTGGCTGACCGCCGTTTATCCATAATGACGTCGGCCCAGCGTCAGTGAGACGTTGGCAAAAGGGTGGCAGACCACTACCAGATGACTATGTATGTCTGTTTACACTCTTTTTCCTTGTGTGTATACTCATTGCGTTGAACGTTACGGTTTTTGTACATGTGAAAGTTTTTCTAAACACTGTGTATTTCTGTATTTTAACTGTGTTTGTTTTTTTGTTTTTTTCATCACTGTGCATGTTTCTGTTGTCACTACGCGTGTTTGTATTTATTATGAGCACTGTGTATGTCAGTTTTGTCACTATTTGTTTGTAATCTTTACTATTACTCTGCATGATTGCATTGTCAGTGTATCCCTGTGTGTTTGCTTATCTTATGTATATCTATGTGATTGTTTATATTCTGTTTGCTGTGTCTATTTTGTATTGTTATTGAATGTGTTTATGTATATTGTGATGACTATTTACTCTTATGTTTTCACTCTTTTTCCTTGTGTTCATTCTCAATGCGGTTTAGCTACTATTAACACTGTACATGTTAATATATTTTGATCACTGTGTATGTCAGTTTTGTCACTCTATTTGTTTGTAATCATTACTCTGCATGATGGTGTTGTCACTTTATGTCTATGTGTCTGTTTATATTCTGTTTGCTGTGTTTATTCTATGTATATTGTTACTTAATGTGTTTGTATATATTATAATGACTCTGTACAACTTCGTTTTCACTCTTTTCCTTGTGTTTTTATGTACAGACACAGATGTGTCTGTACATATTGCCATCACCTGCGTCTGTCGTCGCTGTCGCCGATGGCGATGGCGATGCCGATGCCGATGCCGGCGCCGTGCACTTTCCTTGTAAACACGATAAGTGGAGGGCAGTTTTACTTTTTGGCTTTATATTTACAGAGCTGATGAATATTCATAAAACGCAGGTCAAGTTCGAAAATCAGCATGATCGGGCCATTATTGTAGAAGTTATGCTGTTTTTTCACTTTTCAGCATATTTTTCACATTTCCTCAGATTCAATTCTTAGGCATGTTAACAGTCTCATTATTAAACTAATAAGATACGTAAAAGTGTTTGTTTGACATTTCCTGCATCTTTACAACATTGTTAGTTGATTTTGTAAAAATGATGGTAAACTTGTTATCGTGTATTGTGTAATAAAGTTTCAAAAATGGAAATAAACTCATATCATTGCAGTTTGTCAGATTCAAT